GGGGCGGGGGGAGGCTGTGCACGGGTGCCTGGGTGTTTGTGTGTGTTGCTGTTTTCTTTTTCATTTTCTCCGTTGTTGCTCGAATTGGTTTCTTGTTGGTTCTACAGTCAATACGTTTCATTCGTACAGAGGCCGTATCAGTCCCACCTTCATTTTTCCAAGGGCCAATTCTAGTCACTTTTAGGCTCGGCAAAGTGTAATTTTTGGTTTGTTGCCGTAGCTTGGATGGACTGGTGGTTTAAGAAAGGATCCTTACTTGACACATCGGTCGCCACTTACGGCTGGCTCTCATTCTTGCACTGAACAGGTCAAGCAAAATCGTTTTTTGGCACGCAAACAACGACAATATCAAGTGGCGATCAGGCAAGCTGTGAGTTTCTACACATGCCAGATTTCAGTGCTTCTGGCAAGAAGTACTCCAGGGATTATCTTCAAGTTGCAACCAGAAATTTCACTGAAGTCTTGGGAAAGGGAGGTTATGGACCAGTTTACAAGGTCTCTCTCTCTCTCTCTCTCTCTCTCTCTCTCTCTCTCTCTCTCTCTCTCTCTCTCTCGTGTGCGCGCGCGCGCGCGCGTGCTTCTGTTTGCGCCTTACGAATGTTTCACGTGGAGTGTTTTGGAAGGATATGCAAAAGCAAAGAAAGTTTAAGAAACATTCTGAGATTAGGTGCCAAAAGACTGAACTGGAAAGGAGCAAGGCAGCAAGAGAAAGTGTGCTTTCCAATTTTCTGCTCAGGAGAAAAAGAGCGGCGAATAGAAGGCTGCTATAATGATACAGCACAATGTATTTGCAAATTGCACCTTTCAAAAGTTTCAATTAGCAGCGTCTCTTGTCTGTTTTTTCTTCTTTCTTTGTATGCCATCCCTTGCCTGTTGTGTTGAAGGACAGTAGAGAGGGACAGTGGGAATCGATCTCATCTTTGCCAGTGTGTTGTGGAAAAAAGTGAAAGGCAGAGGGAGGGAGGAAGAGAGGTATAGACCTCCGGACAGAGTAACTATGGGTGTATATTACTTCATAAGTTGCTAAGGGCACTACTCAGACAAGGAGTCTTAAGTATGTTTGAGAATGGACCTGAGCACAGTTAGAGCTACATCCAATTGAAAGCAATCCAAGTGAAATTACTAAATTAGTTCTGATTGCAACTGATTTGGGGAGGTGGATACAGAAACATTACACATTGTTTAGGCGGATACTCACCCTGGTTGGGACCCAATACAACTGGGTCTAACTATAGTACTGGGAAATGTGAGTCAAACGCCCTTGGAAATGAGTCAAGGGCCTTGCTTCCAAGTCTGAGGCCGACTTCGAGGGTCAAAAGTCGCTTTCTAGGCCCAGGAGTCAACTAAGATGTCCCTTATGTCAAACAGACTCTCCACGCGCTGTCTAGGCCCAGGAGTCATGTAAGACGTCTCTTACGCCAAACAGTCTCCTTTCTCTTGGAACGAAATGAGTCAAGGGCCTTGCTTCCAAGTCTGAGGCCAAGTTCTGGGGTCAAAAGGTGGCCGTCTGGGCGCAGGAGTCATCTAAGACGTCCCTTATGTGAAACAGACTCCACACCGTCGATGTCTAGGCCCAAGAGTCATCTGAGACGTCCCTTATGTCAAACAGACTCCGCTGTGGAGGCTCAGAAACACCCCCAGGGCCTGGAGAAGTTGGCCCCGGCCTCAGGAAAGTCAACTGACAGGCCCAACCATGCCCGACCAGGCCCAACCCATACATAGTACACCGAGAGTCAAACTTCGAGACTTGTTGAGACGAGGCACAAGGACACACAATCCAAGGGCTCAGCATAGTTTCCAGAAACTTCGAGACTTGTTGAGACCAGGTGCACACAGGCCATGACCATATCATTATTTTTTTTTTTGACACAGATCAAGTAAATATTTGCCTCACGAGGAGGCAACCTGAGGAAGGCCAAGGCCGTGTCCGCACTACAAAAGCAAGACCTGCCTCAGTTCATGCACATATTCTTCCTGAGCAAGGTCATTGTGGCACTCACACGCTGGAGGGGGCAGAAGTAGAGAGATAGGCGAGGCCGCCATAGTCAAGTGAGCACTGCCTCCATAGCCGTAGGGAGAGAGGGAGGGGGGGGGGGGGGGGGGGGGAGGGGGGGAGAGAGAGAGAGAGAGAGAGAGAGAGAGAGAGAGAGAGAGAGTGAGAGAGACGATAAAAGGTTGGAGATAAGATCTGGCTTGTGGAAGAGAGGTTGCTTACCTGGTATCTTCTGTCTGATGCTATCATTGTTGTTAACTTCTCTGCTGCCTGAGGTATTCAGGCTTGATTGGTCTGGCGCTGGCTCAAACAAGCAGCGCCTGAGGAGAGAGGTATTGCAGTTGAGTGTAGCGAGACATAAGCAGTGTTGAGCATTGGTTGGAGTGAGAGACTTGCCAAGTGAAAGGGAAGGAGACTGGAGGAGACGAACCCCAAGATTGGAGGGGAATCGGCATTGCAATCTTCTATCTATCTATCTATCTATCTATCTATCTATCTATCTATCTATCTTCTATCTATCTATCTATCTATCTATCTTCTATCTATCTATCTTCTATCTATCTATCTACTAATACTTAAAGACAAAAGCGGTCCTCGGAAGACGCCTCCCGTGGGCTCAGGGAAAACGAGTCCCGCATGTCGGTCAGATGGGACAGACGTTTTTTTCCCGTTCGGCGTTTTTGTTTCGGGTCTGGGCTGGGTCGCGGGTTCGAGACCGCAGGATATTTTGTCGGTTTTTTTTTCTGTGCCAGGCCGTGGGTTCAATGTGGCAGTTTTGCGGTGCTTTTTTTCGCGTTCCCGCCCATGGCTTCGACGTTCCCGCCCACCGCGTCCCGCCCACCGCTTCGACGTTGTTGCGGTGCTTTTCACAGGCTGTCACCGCATGGAGTTGCGCGTTTGGAGCCGTGAGGTTGGAGACTTACCTGCTCTCTCTCTCTCTCTCTC